CGCACACCAGCACAGAGCCTCTCGAAGAGCAATTGCCTCCATCAACATCGGATCAACCATACCTGAGTAACACGACCCCCGAGCCATGAGTATCCCACCAGCCTCATCCTGCAGGACAAACCCCGCTGATCCATGCGACCCAGCAGCAATCGCCCCATCAAAGGCACACCTGAAGACACCTGGCCCGAACCCCGGATCTATCTCCTGCACTGCACGAGCAGCAACTCGCCCATTCCCTGGAGACACACTATCCAACCACTCCTGAACCTGAAACCCAAACTGCCTCTCCAGGACACCAAATGTATCTTGTTGACCCTCAAAGGCCACCAAGTTCCTAGACTTCCAAATCCGCCAGAGAAGACAGACAAGACGTACCATTCTTGCTGGAGAAGAATCCCGTTCTATAAAACCACGAAAGAAAATAGGGAACGCCTGACCCTGGCCGATCCTCCAGTCATTCATCAGACCTGACATTTCCCACATAGCCACTGCCACCGGGCACATGAAAAATAAATGCTCTATTCCTGCGCCCAGCAAACCGGACATCGTGGTAATACCAACACCTTCTTCCGGATCAAAGCCTCCATAGTCGGGAGAGTGCGTTGCAAGAGCTGCCAGATAAAAAGTCGGAGCTTGGGCTGAACCTCAAGACCCCAAACTTTTATCCATAACGCCCTATCCATCGGATCACACCCTGACTTCTTTCGCATCCCAGCGCAATTCAGACTCTCAGCTAGCCTATACCCTGACTTCACAGTATATTCCCCAGATGGGTCGAGCCTCCATACCCAACTATCCTCCCTCGGCGTGCGTGGAATCGGTACTCGGAGAATAGCACGCACCGTGTCCATACTAAATGTCTGCTCCAGACACTGTTGGCACCACGATCGTGTTTCCTGATCAATTAACGAAACCACACACTCCCCACCAACTAAGGGGTTCCCAACTCGCAACTTCGGAAGACCAGGGAAAATTTGAGGAATCCATCCACTAGACATGATGGGAATAGACTCCCCAGACCCAACCTGGCACCCCAACCCTTTCAATAATAACAGGGTACCATGTAGAATGCTGTGCCAGGCCCACGAAGGCCGAGAACCCGGTTTAGCCAACAAAATAGATCCATGAGGGAAATATTTTCCTCGGAAAACCTGGGCCAGCAAAGAGTCTGGTTCATCAAGAATTCGCCATGCCACTTTGGCTAATAAGGCCGGATTAAATTCCTCAAATCTTCGGAACCCCATCCCACCCTCGTGCTTACTACGACAAAGCCGACGCCAAGACACCCAAGGAATGCCCGACCGACCCCCTGAGGATCCCCACCAGAATCTAGCCATATGTTTATCCATCCTCCTACAAAGGGTCAGCGGCAATTTAAAGCACGACATCCCATGGATTGGCAAAGCCCCGGCTACTGACTTCAGGAGCGTCTCCTTAGCTGCCCACGACAAATGCCTCTGTTTCCAACCCTTAATCCGCTCAAGTAGCTTCTCTTCCAGGAACCGGAAGGTATCAGACTTCGACCGAGCCACCAACGTAGGGAGGCCCAAGTACTTATCATGAACCCCGATTGAGCCAATTCCAAGGCAACGACCCATAATCTCCTGGTCCACTCCAGCAATGTTCCGACTAAAACAGACAGCTGACTTAGCCAAATTAACCCGCTGCCCACTCAGCGCCTCATACTCTTGGAGTACTGCCATCACACTATGACAATCCTGGAGAGAACCCCGCAAGAACAAATAAGAATCATCCGCAAATAGAAGATGAGAAATCCGAGGCGCCCGGGGACTCACTCGAACCCCTTCTAATCTTTTCCGGTCAATGGCCTGACGCAGCAGGGCCGATAACCCTTCCGTACAAATGACGAAAAGCAAAGGAGACAACGGATCTCCTTGACGCAGCCCTCGCGTGGAACGAAAGAACCCGGAGGGACTACCATTCACCATGACCGAAAAGGAGGCCGTCGAAATACACTCCTTCACCCAACGAATCCAAAGTTGACTAAACCCCAATTTCTCAAGAATTGCCAGTAAGAAAGGCCATTCGACCCTATCATAGGCTTTTTCCATATCCACCTTCAAGGCCATAAAGCCTTTCTTCCCTGACCGTTTATTCTTGAGGTAATGCATAAGCTCATGCCCAATTAATATATTATCCACTATCTGGCGTTTCCTAATGAAGCCATTCTGCCCCGAGGACACAATTTGCGGCAAAATTGCCGCCATTCTTTCCGCCATGATCTTGGTAATTATTTTGTAAACAAATTGGCACAAGCTAATGGGCCGTAGCTGGCGCATAGACTCGACATTCTCAACCTTCGGAACTAGTGTAAGCCAGGTGTGGTTGAAACTGCGTAAGATATGCCCATTCTGAAAGAATGAGCGCACAGCCGAGACCACCGACTCGCCTACAATATCCCAAAAGGTCTTGAAAAATTTCCCAGTAAAACCATCCGACCCCGGCGCCTGCAACGACCCCATCCCAAAGACCGTCTTCCTGATTTCTTCCTCCGAGACCTCCGCAACCAGGCTGCCATTCATTTGTTCGGTGACTTTTGTCTCCAAAGGGAGAGCAGCAACCCGATCCCGGATCCCCCGGACATCCGCCTCCGCGGTAAACAAATGTTCATAAAAACCCACCGCCACCTCCTCCTTTTCTGGTTCCTCCATAGCCCAGGTACCATCATCCCGTTGCAATTTCTCCACGAAATTCTGTTTCCTCCTGACCCGGGTCACCGTATGAAAATACGATGAATTCTGATCCCCAGTTCTTAACCAATGAACCCTCGATTTCTGTTTCCAGTGCATTTCTTCCTCCGCCCATTGCAAGGTAAGGTCACGCTCCAATTGATTGATCCGATCCCAATTCACAGGGGACTCCTCTTTCAAGGCCCCAATCTCGGCCTGAAGGACTCGAATCTGGCGTTCAGCGTTTGTGGTCCCCGCCTTGCTCCACTGGAAAAGAAGATGACGCAGTTTCTTGAGTCGAACCCACAACTGGTACATCTCCGATCCCTGGACCGGTTCATTCCACACCCTTTCCACCATCGGCCGAACCTCCACATTCTCCGCCCATCGAGCGTCGAACCGAAATAGTCTCTTACCAGCATGTTCGAAAGGTTTATCAGCCACAATCAGGGCTCTATGATCCGATCCAAGATCCGTACCATGGACCACCAGCGAATCAGGGAATGATTGTATCCAATTATCAGAGACCAAGCCCCTGTCCAATCGAACCTGAATGCAAGCATCCCCCATTCGCCTATTCGTCCAAGTAAACGGGTTTCCCGAGAAACCAAGATCATGAAGCCCCAATGTATCCACGAAATCACGAAAAGGTTGCGAACGCACTGGGCTCCAGGGTCTCCCTCCCATTTTTTCATTGGAGGCTAAAATCTCATTGAAATCCCCCACCACCAAATATGGTAACGTAATATCGGCACAAAAATTACGGAGCTCGCCCAACTGAGCAGCCCGTTCCAACTCTCGACAACTAAAGTAAACAAAAACCACACAAAATTTTATTCATTTTTCTCGACACGAACAGAAATAAAGAAAGAAGAACTACAAATAACCGAGACCAGAAGCTCTGGAGACCAACCCACTGCTAACCCTCCAGCAGAGTCCACAGCGTCAACTAAGAAAAAATCAAAAAAACCTAATCCCCGAAGGCGGCGAGACACAACCTTACGCCTCGATCGAGTTTCGGAAAAGAAAACAATTTCAGGACTATTGGACCGAACTACCCCAAGGATAGATTGGAACGTGAGGGAAGGCCCAATCCCCCTCACGTTCCAGGCGAGAAGCCTCATTTGGCTACATGGGGCCGCTCAAGGCCGGCTTCCTCCACCTTTTCCATTATTCCCTTAATGTTGTCACCATCGTCCCCTATCGGAACCACATGAGCCAACGCCTCCTCCATAGGATCATCGAGGCAAAGCTTCTTCACCAGAGTGGGATCCTTCACCAGGTCTTCAACAATATCAGCCGATCTCCTCCTGTCCCCCATCTCTTCATCCGACGGAGCTGTCATCCGGAAGGCCACCTGCTTGGCAGCCGCCGTCTCCCCCGAGTCACTCTCCTTCACGAGGCACTCCTTCTTCCCGCCAGTGTTCCCTTCCTTTCTTAATTCCTTCTCCCCACCAGCCACCTGTTCACCTCCACCCTCCTTACCTGCCCCCGCCCCCTTGCTCAGTACTTCCCCCCTCACCTTCAGGACAACTCTCGGCTTAGAGAGAGTTTCAAGCCCACCAGCTGTGGGTTTAAGATCAGCCCTTGTCTTTCCCAAAGTAGGTTGGGCCACCTGCTTTCCTTTCCCATCCTTCGAACCCCCTCCCACCTTCTGGACACCCAGCCCCTGCTTCCCACGGCTCTCGACCACCCCGACTGATTTCGGTTTAGCTTCGGTCTTCCCTACATCCCGATCCCCTACCACCCCAGCCTTCGACTTCCTTGCATCACCCCGAGGGGTCTCAGATTTCGCCCCCTTCCCCTGGCCAGGACCCATCGCCACCTTCTCCTGCTGCTTCTCAGGTTTCTTCCCGGCTGACTTCTCCGAGGCAGGCAGCGCCAGGACCACACCCCTGTTCGAACCGCCCTCCTCCTCCCTATCCTCCATTCGCACGTCCCGACCATGGCCTCCAGTCCCTTTCCTCTTACCCAGAGTAGCAGGATTAACCCACACCGTCTTCTGGAGCGGAGCACCATAAATCGCAGCCAAGGAACTTTCATTGATTCGGTATCCCGACTCCTTGGTCGAGAGCTCCGGGCCAAAATGTTCCTCCCCGGGCGGCGGAGGGAAAGAGCAGTTCTGGGCAGTGTGACCGAAGCGGCCACAATGGTAGCAATACAGAGGAAGATGCTCATATACCAGAGTTATCCAGAACTTCCCAACACTGGGATTGGTCGCAAAGAGCTGCGACCGGAGCGGCGCCATGACATCGAGCAAAGCCCGAACCTTCACAAAATGCCCTGGAACTCCCTTCAGACCGAACATGCCAGCATCACAAACAGCGCCCAGCTTACTCTCCGCCATTCTTCTCCCGAACGCGACTGTCCTGCAGTGTGAGGGGATCCCCCACATCTGTACCCAAAAGGGAACTCTGCCCAGCGCTTCCACCACTGAAGGTGTGATCGGTTCCCAATTCTGCAAGTGCAGAATCCTATCTTTCACCTGCCACGGAGTCCTCTGGAGGACCCAATCCTTGTCTCAAACATCCTCGAACAGGAATTGGAGGAGCCCCAATTCCGCTTCCATAACAGTCACCTTCCCCGAGCAGCCCCATTCCCCATACACGATTTTTTGAATGGTTTTGAGGCTGGGGGGGTTATCCATGAACAGCCGCCCAACCAAGCTCAGTTGAGCCCTCTGCATACTCTCCTCCACATCTTCCAGCTCGAATTCAACCACCTGATCCGGGTTCATTGGCTCATCCGCCATGTTAGCTCTATTTCCGCGCAGCTGGAAGTGACGAGAAAACAGAGTAAACATTTGGGCAAAAACCATGAAACCAATATATGGAAGTAACCACAATTGGTACAATCGCAGCAAGGCTCTCCAAAACATGATTTTATTACCTCTCAAGTTTGGGAATCGAGAAAAACCTTCTTCCGTCTCCAAAGCAGTACAGAAATATCGAGTGGGATGCTCTTTCTGTTCGCCAGGCAACGAAGTTAAATACACCCACTTCGGGGCGAGACAATGAATTGTTTGAGTACAGGACTCTACGCCAGGAATTATCTCCTGTTTATTATTGCCGAAGTAATCTCCCAGACGGATCTGGGTATATCCCCAATATTTTCCGTTGGATCTGGATAACTCCAAGAACCTATTCTTTCCGGAGTTTTCTTTACTGGAGAGGAGGTTGATTGATCTCCAGACTTCACGAAGGGGATCCAGCTCCCCATCTACATTCGCCTCCTTTTCGATCGTATCCCAATCAAAATCCGGCCGTCGACAGGACGCCGTGTTCTTCCTGGTCTCTTCCATAGAGAACCCAGCGAAGAAGAAAGCTAGAAACTTTCGCAGAAAGGGGAAGAGAGAGGGGAGAGCAAATCGCCACATTTTTTTTTTGTTCCCTTAACCTTTTCTACAATTTGTTGATTTTGAAATAGGTAATTAATTATTAAATTTTGTTTCACCTAATTCCGTTGGTAGCGATCAAAGAGGAAATAATTAATAATAAAACTTATTACTTATTATGGGCTTAGACGTGATAATTAAAGAAAGATTTTATCTGTTGTCAATTAATTCTCATAATATAATCATTATTCTGTTGTCGATAAATAATAACAATCATAAATAATATATTTAACATTATTTAAAAATAAATCCGATCGGTCAGCACTCAGCAGTGGCCAGTGGGTCAGACCATCTCTGCCAATTTGTGAAAACTAAACCTTAATATATTTAAATCCTTATCCGAGTCAAACCCAAAGCATATTTTTCAAAATCAATTTTATAATTATAACTACTCTAAATAATTTATCAATTTTGTCACTATTTACTGTAATTATATATATAACATAACATAATATGATAATATAATATATTGTATACACAATTCTTTCCAGTCTCTGGCGTAACTCAAGAGAAACTCCTAACTAAAAACTAGGCAAGATTAATTACCGCAAAATGGCAAGATTTATATAGAAGTTATAATATAATCAATTTAACGGAAGCATTCCTAGGGCTGCTAAACGGTACGGTAACCGGTTTACCGTTTACCGTAATACCGGTTTCGGTATTATCGGAACTCCATAAAAGCTCTCCGACCGCCGATACCGATCTCCCACCGGTACGCCGACTACCGATTCACCACGGTATCGGTGCATCCCGAATTCCCGATTCTGATCATTAATTTAAACTTCATCTCGCCTGTCCCTCTGTCCTCTGACTCCCTGTCCGCCTGTCCCTCTGAGGCTCTGACTCCCTGTCAGCACCACCCCAAATATCACTTGCGGCCAACCATTCCAACCTTTCCTTAGCAATACAAAATTACAAACAAGTGAAACATACAGTAATAATAATAAGCCCATATAAAACAAAAGAGAAAAGGTTTCATGTTCTGCTCAGTTACAAAAGTGAAACATACAGTATATGATGTTGTAATTACCAAACCGGAGAAGAAGAAGATTACCTCTACAATGGACGGAGATCGGAGACGGCGCCGGCGACGGTCTCACGGAGTTCAACGGACAGCGGAGCGGCGATGGGAGGAACTTGTCAGAAACAGAGCCTGGACTTGGGCTGCTGTCTGCTGAGTCCTCTTCCCGTCGCCAGCGATAGAGACGACGGGATTCGACGGCTGGATTCGACGGATGAAGTGAACGGAGGAGGAGGTATCGGCGGCGTGGTCGTGGACTCGTTCGTGGTCGTTCGTGCAGCTAGGGCAGTAGGGACAGGGGATGAAATTACTAAAATTAGGATGGCAGCTGGCTTAGATCGTTAGGGCTTGGTATTTTTTAGGGTGGGGTGGCCGATGTTTCGTTTTCTACAATTATGCTTCCGCGGCTCTGCCGATCCGAGCTTGAGATATCCCTTTCCCATTCGGTGTCGGATTACCGATAACCCGTCGGTAAATTACAAACCCGGTGCCGGCATACCGCCAGCCACAGATACTCATCCGCTTACCGTTGTTTTCGGTAACCGGTTTAACCGGTAACCGTGGTAACCGGTACGGTAACCGGTTAAACTGGAAACCGCAAAACCGTTTGGCAGCCCTAAGCATTCCTATAACTATGGGGTTAGATTTATACCTTGTTATAAGAACCAAACCGGATCAACGGCCGGATCAGTAGAACCGTCAAATCAGTTACGATAGCGTGCCGGTTCATTGTTTGAACGGTTATTGATGGACCAAACGGTTTTTCACGGTTCAACATAAAATCAGATGAACCGACACGGTTTAACTGGTCCATTGGTTCACTATTTTAACAAAAAAATATTTTAACATAAACTAAGACCATTAAATCATAATTATTAATTTTATATTATTATATATGCTTCCTCAACCTTATTGTCGATTTTACATTGTCTACTACCAACTAGAACCGTAATTTTTAATTTGAATTAAAAAATGTGGTTTCTTTTGTGAGATGGTTGGAATGATTTATTAGATATTTTCGTGATGATATGAATTTGAACTTGTTTATGGTCAATGATAATTTCATTCTTAAATTATTGTAATATACAAGTCTTATATGTTATATATCATTAACGGTTCACCAACGATTTTGTAACGGTTAACCGGTGAATCCTTAAACCACTAATTTTTCCGGTTCGGCCTCCGGTCCGGTTCTGAAAACAGAGGATTTATATCTGCCATCCTGTTTAATTTGTCCAATTAATACCAAAGGTAAGATAGCCTAACGGTAAAGCTGCCGCAACAGTGAAGGCTTGGGAGTTGCAGATCCCAGGTTCGAATCCAAGCGAGGCCCGTTGGTGTTCCCGGAGGTACAAGGCTGCTGGGGGCGAAGCCCCGTTGGCGTCAAATTAAATGCAGGTGGCCCACAGGTTTAGTAGGACCCGCTGTCACAAAGTGGCACGTGGGGCTGAGGTTCCTGGGTATAAAAAAAAAAAATTGTCCAATTAATAATATTTTTTATATTTTATTAACTCTTTACATACCAAATTTTAACTTTAAACTTCGTAAATCAATATTAACTCCTTCAATTTACCGAATTAGTAGTATTTTTTATTTTATAATCATTTAACATAACAAAATCCATTATTTCCGCCCCAAATTGCTCCATCGTTGCAGAAAAAATGGACATTCGCGGGGTACTCGTCCATCGATCAAACCGAAGGAAAAATCATAATCGGAACCGTCAGACGGGGGCGGACGGACGCCGTCCGAAAGCGGACGTCAGACCGCGCAGCTCCATCGGACGTTGGAGAACGACGATGCGAGGAAGACGATCGTCGTCACCGAAGGGATTCTGGTGTTTGGATTGGGATTTCGCTTCTATTGAATCTGATGAATCTTAGACGACGGTATGAGGAGGATATCGTTGGTGGGTGAGCGCTTTGCATTGGGGAAAAGAGTTAGGGTTATGGGGAAGGTTGGGATTGTGGTCGGCGGCAATTTTCCGGCAGAGAGAGGGATTATCGTCGGTGGTTGATGGGTGTTTGGTGGTGGGAGAGTTTTCAAAGAATAAAAGCAAAAATGTCATTTAACTCGAATTTGTGGGCGGCAAATAATAATTTTACAGGCGGTAAATAGCAGTTCAGTTTCTTTTTCTTGGATCTTCGGAAGAATTTGTATAACTAGGCTGGGCTTGCTGTCCTGGCTTGGACTTTTATAAGCAAACAAACAAGAAGAAGCTAATTGGTAAACCAACTTAATACTATGTTTAGCAATAAGGGAGGTGCAAATTTGAATAGAGTGCAAGTTGAGTGACAAATTGCAGGGGTACAAATTGATGGTGGGTGTAAGTGGAAGGGTAAATTGTTGTTTTAATGAAAAATTAGAAGGGTGCAAATATAGTAAAAAAATAAGGAAACTATATAATTATTATAAAATAGATGTATTAAATTTATAAAATATTATCAAAAAATAATAAAATAAAAACTATTATATATAATAATTATAAATATTAACAAAAATTATTTTAAAAAATTATTTAGACAATTATGCTTAAATAGTAATTTTTGTAATACTTATTAATCGATCAATCTCGAAGCTTGAAACCCAACCTATGGCCAAGACATATAACTAGCTCATGTCTCCCACTCGAGCGTTGATTTGACTATATGGTGATCTCAATATGACTAGACAAACCTAAGAAACTTGCTCCCGAAGTCAAACGGTGAACCCGAACTAGGTAGGGGTGTGCAACAGTTCGGTTTAGTTTGGTCCATACTGGTCCTAACTCATGAGAACTGCGGTCCAATAACGATAGACATTTAGGACCAAGAATTGGATCATCATTGCATTTGGTCGTATTTGATCCGGTCCAAATGTCAAATTGATTAATTTTTCTTCAGTATTTACATGACACTTCTTTTGTATACGTTCAACGCAATTTGAGTCAACCAAACATTTTCACGTTCTACTTTTTCCATGACACTTTCTTTTTATACTTTACAACACAAATTTGAGTCAAACTTCGTCAAACACATTCAACAATTGGAGCCAATTTGACTGTGATCCACAAACAAATTCAACATTAACAATTATTATTATAATAATAAATTATAATAATTATGATTTATGATTCAATAGTAACAAAAAAATCTTTCTTACTATCTTAAGTATAGCAATTATCATTTACATATCTATTATCCAAAATATAATTATTTAGATATAATAATAAACAAAATAATAATTTAATATCAATTTTACGTAACTTACCTCTTTCTCCTTCTTTATCTCTCTTCTTGCACCCCAAATCGGGATTTAAGAGAATAGTAATTTAACCCCCTATTCTTCCCCCCAACACTATTGCAAATTAACCAAATTGATGAGACTCGAGATAGGACTCTTTGATCAGAATTGCGCAGCAATGAATTGATCGAACTCAATTCACAAACTCGAACCAAAAACAGGTTATCTTTTAAAGGACTTTTCGATGGAACTTTTCATGCAATCTTACAATAGGAAGAAGGCTCAAAAGGTATGGGTAGAAGCTGACTACGATGAAGGTGATCACTTGATCGATACAAGCACACAAGCTGTCTAGATCTCTGTAACATCCCAAACCAAACAGAATAAATAAAATAAATGTATTCTCGATAACCATAAATTTACAGCTGTGATTCTATATTGAAATTTGCGTCTTTGACGGGAGAAGATGTAATGGGAAAATAATAATAATAATCATAGAAATTGATTATTATAATTGTTCCTATATGTATTTATATGTTTTGAAATAATAAAAAAAGAAACTTTAAAAGAATAAAAGGAGGCAGAAGGAAACGAACCTACCTGCTGCATTTTCCCAAAAATTGAGACAAGCACCAGACTACTAGAGTCTAGAGTACAAATATATTGTA